AGATAATTATAACCATATTATTAACAATGGCCACTCACAAAGTATTTATTACAGATAACACGGACATTGTGGTGCTGGGTAAGGTTAACACATGTAGCATTATTTTTAAAATCAACCAACACTGTTCAAGCTGCAAGAGAAAGAATGAAAAGCTCCTGAGGAAATGTAGCTCAATACTTTATGGTCTTCCTTTGAAGATTCTTTTTCCAGAATGGTCACTTTAAAAGTCAGCAGCAGTGTGTTCTGGGAAGTCCCCATTTGTTTCTGAATACGGATGTTACTGGTTTCAGACTTGTTTCAATTTATTCATCAAGACTAGCAGTTCATGCATCTGATGACATGGACTGCAGTCCACTAAAACATATGGCATAGTTCACAGAACGAATGAAGACCAGGTTGTAACAGTAGGTCTCTAGGTGCTTTTCACTTGTTCTTCCAAGTTTTCTGACTTTAACAAGAGCAAGCAGATGCAACTATCACCACCGTCTCCTGCTGCCATGTCTGGCCTAGTGCTAATTGCCTCTCTCTCGGCCTCACTCCCCCGCTACTACTCCCTACTACAGGGGGTCAGGTACTACTAAAACAGGGGCACTAATTTATTGCCTTAGTGTAATGTGGCCAGTTTTAGAATAATCCATCAGGATCCCTCATCTATTTGCATGTCAATTTGTCCATGTCCCAGTATATGGTTCCTGGGGTAGACAATTCACTCACCCCTCTGAGCCACCATTGGGCATCCTATCCTGGTTGGTTGTTCTCAGCTTATACTAAGAAAGCAACCAGATCCCACCAACCTGAAGTCTGCCCATCCCCCATATCAATAAGCCAGACTTGTTAACTTTTCTGGTGCCACAAGTCTCTTGGCTGTGTTTGAAATTTATCTTTGGCAGAACAGAGTTTAGAGATGATAGCTCAGGAGAGCAAGAGCATTCTGTCTGAAGGCAAGGAGATTGTGTCAGTCTTCCCACATACCTGCATGTCGAGCTTGGTTATAAACCCCTTCTCCTCCTTGTCACAGAGCCGGAAGAGCTCCCTGGCCTTTTCCAGCATCTCCACCTGCATGGTTTCTACATCATTCAGGCAGAAAGGGGAAGGGATGCCGGAGGCTGTTTCATCTTCTCCCTTGTCCTCCTGATGGGATGTTTCGGACAGGTCTTGTCCAGGTCTTTCCATCGCTTCAAGGCTCTGTCCTCACTGGTGCTGAAGGGCATTTAACTGCCAAGATAAAAAATTCACAAATAAATAAAAATAGACAGTTGGTTCCTCGAAATGTGGAGAAAGGTTGTTCCAGGTAACATGCTTGTTTAATCATGAAATGAAGCACTGGGAACATCCCTTTTCCATTATTGAAAGGAAGGGTGAAAAAACCCCTTTACAGCAGCCTTCCCCGACCTGTGTCTTCTAGGCACATAGGGACTGCAATGCCCAGAATTCCTAGTCAATGGCCCTGCTGGATGGGAATCCTTGGGAGTTGCAGTCCAAATGTCTCCGAAGGCCACCAAGTTGGGGAAGGCTGCTTTTCAGCATCAATGGGATAAACATGCAATTTCCAGCTTCCACCTCAAAAGCACAGTACATGGGACAGAATTTTCCAGAAAACAGGAATGAGTGCCCTTGACCATTCTGGACAGAGGCCTGCCCCGATCTGCCCCATCTCCCCCCTCCCTCTCTGCTTGCTCTGTATTGTTGCGAAACAAATTCTCACTGGCAGCTGCTGGTTGCCAAGGGAAAAAGAACAGCCATTCAGATGAAATCACAACAGGCTTAAGGAGCTGAGATAGGGAAGAGCCAAGCCATTGCATAAATGCACACAGCAGACTGTTCCTGTAGCCAACTTTTTGTGCTTAAGGCACTGGAGGTTTGGATTCGGAGAAAATGAAGTTCAGTTCCCAAAGCTGCCACCAACTCCTTTATTAGAAGTCTCACTTATTTCCAAGAAGTGCTTAGAGTACAGAACACGCACATCAAGGAAGCAAATCTGTCATGATTATGAAGACTGATGAGCAGATAAGCAAAGCATTGTCCCACATCAGCCTTCTCCAACCTGTTATCTTCCAGATGCTTTTGGACTTCACCTCCTATCAGTCCCAGCCAGCATGGCCAGCAGTTATTTATTATTTATTTATTAAAACATTTTTATGCTGCCCCATTCGTCGAAGCCTCGGGGTGGCTTACAACAAAAAATTAAAATAACATTTTAAAATATATACAGTAAAATACAAATATATAATATAAACCATACAATATAAAACAAGCCGCCCTGGCCAAATAAAATTCAATAATATTAACATTTAAAATACTGCTCAAATAAAAAG